GATTTCCTTACTCCACCCCTGACAAGTGGATTAGCGCTTAAATCGACGTTGCCGGCTCAAATTTGGGGTACTGTGGACACAATTCGATGGTATTGGCCTCCGGGAGCTATCCCAGAGTGCTCCATTGTGACCGCTCTGGACAGCACTCTCAACTCAGATGCACTGGCCAGGTAGACAGGAAAAGAACCGCGAACTTTTGAATCTCATTTCCTGTTTGGCCAGCGTGGCAAGCTGCAGGTGACCATGCAGAGCTCATCAGCACAGGTGACCATGATGGAGTCCCAGAATCGCAAAAGAGCTCCAGCATGGACCGAACGGGAGGTACGGGATCTGATCGCTGTTTGGGGAGAGGAATCCGTGCTATCAGAACTCCGTTCCAGTTTTTGAAATGCCAAAACCTTTGTCAAAATCTCCCAGGGCATGAAGGACAGAGGCCATAACAGGGACCTGAAGCAGTGCCGCGTGAAAATGAAGGAGCTGAGGCAAGCCTACCAGAAAACCAGAGAGGCGAACGGCCGCTCCGGGTCAGAGCCCCAAACATGCCGCTTCTATGATGAGCTGCATGCCATTTTAGGGGGTTCAGCCACCAGTACCCCAGCCGTGTTGTTTGACTCCTTCAATGGAGATGGAGGCAATACGGAAGCAGGTTTTGGGGACGAAGAAGAAGATGATGATGATGAGGTTGTAGATAGCTCACAGCAAGCAAGCGGAGAAACCGGTTTTCCCGACAGCCAGGAACTGTTTCTCACCCTGGACCTGGAGCCAGTACCCCCCGAACCCACCCAAGGCTGCCTCCTGGACCCAGCAGGCGGAGAAGGGACCTCTGGTGAGTGTACCTTTTAAAATACTGTACATGGTTTAAAAGCAAGCATGTGAAAGGATTACTTTGCCCTGGCATTCGCGGTTCTCCTAGATGTAGTCCTAAAGCCTTTGCAAAAGGTTTCTGGGGAGGGCAGCCTTATTGCGTCCTTCATGGTAGGACACTTTACCACTCCAGGCCAGTAACACGTACTCGGGAATCATTGTAGAACAAAGCATTGCAGTGTATGTTTGCTGGCATTCAAACAACATCCGTTCTTTATCTCTCTGTGTTATCCTCAGGAGAGTGAGATATAATTCATGGTCACCTGGTTGAAATAGAGTGCTTTTCTTCAGGGGACACTCAGAGGAGCCCATTCCTGCTGGGGTGTTTGCCTGTGGCTAAACAGAAATGTTCCCCGCTGTTAGCCACAGGGAGGGGGGAAGGTTGAGGGGGTAGTCACGCGGTGGGGGGAGGCAAAATGCGACCTTCTAACGAAAGCACATGTGCTATGTATGTAATGTTAACAGCAAGGTTTACCCTGAAAGAGTGTAGCCACTGTTTTATAAAATGTGTCTTTTTAAATACCGTTGTCCCTTTTTTTTTCTCCACCAGCTGCATGTGTTTCAATGATCACAGGATCTTCTCCTTCCCAGAGGCTAGTGAAGCTTAGAAAGAAAAAAAACGCACTCGCGATGAAATGTTCTCCGAGCTCATGCTGTCCTCCCACACTGACAGAGCACAGATGAATGCGTGGAGGCAAATAATGTCAGAGTGCAGGAAAGCACAAAATGACCGGGAGAAGAGGTGGCGGGCTGAAGAGAGTAAGTGGCGGGCTGAAGACAGGGCTGAAGCTCAAATGTGGCGGCAGCGTGATGAGAGGAGGCAGGATTCAATGCTGAGGCTGCTGCAGGACCAAACCAGTATGCTCCAGTGTATGGTTGAGCTGCAGCAAAGGCAGCTGGAGCACAGACTGCCACTGCAGTCCCTCTGTAACCAACCGCCCTCCTCCCCAAGTTCCATAGCCTCCACACCCAGACGCGCAAGAATGCGGTGGGGGGGCCTCCGGCCAACCAGCCACTCCACCACAGAGGATTGCCCAAAAAAAAGAAGGCTGTCATTCAATAAATTTTAAAGTTGTAAACTTTTAAAGTGCTGTGCTTAAAGTGCTGTGTGGCATTTTCCTTCCCTCCTCCACCACCCCTCCTGGGCTACCTTGGTAGTCATCCCCCTATTTGTGTGATGAATGAATAAAGAATGCATGAATGTGAAGCAACAATGACTTTATTGCCTCTGATTAATTGAAGGGAGGAGGGGCGGGTGGTTAGCTTACAGGGAAGTAGAGTGAACCAAGGGGCGGGGGGTTTCATCAAGGAGAAACAAACAGAACTTTCACACCGTAGCCTGGCCAGTCATGAAACTGGTTTTCAAAGCTTCTCTGATGCGTACCGCGCCCTCCTGTGCTCTTCTAACCGCCCTGGTGTCTGGCTGCGCATAACCAGCAGCCAGGCGATTTGCCTCAACCTCCCACCCCGCCATAAACGTCTCCCCCTTACTCTCACAGATATTGTGGAGCACACAGCAAGCAGTAATAACAGTGGGAATATTGGTTTCGCTGAGGTCTAAGCGAGTCAGTAAACTGCGCCAGCGCGCCTTTAAACGTCCAAATGCACATTCTACCACCATTCTGCACTTGCTCAGACTGTAGTTGAACAGCTCCTGACTACTGTCCAGGCTGCCTGTGTACGGCTTCATGAGCCATGGCATTAAGGGGTAGGCTGGGTCCCCAAGGATACATATAGGCATTTCAACATCCCCAACAGTTATTTTCTGGTCTGGGAATAAAGTCCCTTCCTGCAGCTTTTGAAACAGACCAGAGTTCCTGAAGATGCGAGCATCATGCACCTTTCCCGGCCATCCCACGTTGATGTTGGTGAAACGTCCCTTGTGATCCACCAGAGCTTGCAGCACTATCGAAAAGTACCCCTTGAGGTTTATGTACTCGGCGGCTTGGTGCTCCGGTGCCAAGATAGGGATATGGGTTCCGTCTATGGCCCCACGACAGTTAGGGAATCCCATTGCAGCAAAGCCATCCACTATGACCTGCACATTTCCTAGGGTCACTACCCTTGATATCAGCAGATCTTTGATTGCGTGGGCTACTTGCATCATAGCAGCCCCCACAGTAGATTTGCCCACTCCAAACTGATTCCCAACTGACCGGTAGCTGTCTGGCGTTGCAAGCTTCCACAGGGCTATCGCCACCGCTTCTCAACTGTGAGGGCTGCTCTCATCTTGATATTCATGCGCCTCAGGGCAGGGGAAAGCAAGTCACAAAGTTCCATGAAAGTGCCCTTACGCATGCGAAAGTTTCGCAGCCACTGGGAATCGTCCCAGACCTGCAACACTATGCGGTCCCACCAGTCTGTGCTTGTTTCCCGAGCCCAGAATCGGCATTCCACAGCATGAACCTGCCCCATTAGCACCATGATGCATGCATTGGCAGGGCCCATGCTTTCAGAGAAATCTGTGTCCATGTCCTGATCACTCACGTGACCGCGCTGACATCGCCTCCTCGCCCGGTATCGCTTTGCCAGGTTCCGGTGCTGCATATACTGCTGGATAATGCATGTGGTGTTTAATGTGCTCCTAATTGCCAAAGTGAGCTGAGCAGCCTCCATGCTTGCCTTGGTATGGCGTCCGCACAGAAAAAAGGTGCGGAACGATTGTCTGCCGTTGCTGTGACGGAGGGAGGGGCGACTGACGACACGGCTTACAGGGTTGGCTTCAGGGAGCTAAAATCAACAAAGGGGGTGTCTTTACATCAAGGAGTATTTCAGGCAGAACTTCACGGAGGGTTCCAATAAGAAATGGTGCACCTAAGTTATCGTTGTTATTGGAACAAGGAGGTTAGCCTGGCCTCTGATTGATACATGGCTAGATTTACCTCGCTGCACCTTCTCTGTGAGTGACTGCAGTGTGACCTAGAGGAATGAGTCCCCTAGACAGGGGAGGAGGCAAATGAGTACAAAACAAATCTGGTCTATTTCTTGTTTTGACCCACTCCATCTATCTTTTACATCTTTGGCTGGCAGCAGACGGTGCAGAAGGACTGCATGCCATCCACATCTCATGGCTGCTCAGCAGAAGATGGTACAGTACGACTGCTAGCCATCCTCATCTCTTGCCTGCCTGGCAGAAGATGGTACAATACGACTGCTAGCAATCCTCGTCTCCTGCCTGCCTGGCAGAAGATGGTACAGTACAACTGCTAGCAGTCCATATCGCCTGCCCGCTCACCATAAGACGGTTCAATAGGACTGACTGCAGGACTAAAGAGAATGACCTGGTCAAGTCACTCCAAATTTAGTCCCTGCGCCCATGTCTGTCCAGGCGCTCCCAGCCGACGTGGCCAGGAGCACCTCGGACATGACGATGACGGCTACCAGTCGTACTGTACCGTCTGCTGCCACAAGGCAAGGGGTTGCTGCTACTGTGTAGCAATGCCGTACCGCATCTGCCAGCACCCAGGAGTCATAGGGTGACGGTTACCTGAGCAGGCTCCATGCTTGCCATGGTATGGCATCTGCACAGGTAACTCAGGAAAAAAGGCGCAAAACGATTGTCTGCCCTTGCTTTCACGGAGGGAGGGAGGGAACGGGGGCCTGACGATATGTACCCAGAACCACCCGCGACAATGTTTTAGCCCCATCAGGCATTGGGATCTCAACCCAGAATTCCAATGGGCAGCGGAGACTGCGGGAACTGTGGGATAGCTACCCACAGTGCAACGCTCCGGAAGTCGACTCTAGCCTCGGTACTGTGGAAGCACTCTGCCAAGTTAATGCACTTAGAGCATTTTCTGTGTGGACACACACACTCGAATATATAAAACCGATTTCTAAAAAAACGACTTCTATAAATTCGACCTTATTCCGTAGTGTAGACATACCCATTGTCTCTTTCTTGGGATCACTGTATGTTGAGAGATTTTTGGTTCTCATGATACAGTAACTGTAGGAGCGTAGGCTATGCCACACAGTTTGTGACAGTGCCTATTGTAAAAAAGGTTACTACTTACTATAAATTGCTTGCATACCCAGACCCTAAGAAAAAGATCTGTCTGCAGCTTAAGCAGCTCTGACTGCATGTGGAAAATTAGGTCTCAGGCTAAACTCTTAAGATCCTTTGTTTTGAATAGGTAGTGGCAATCCAAACAGAAGTATCTCTGAAGCAGAGAGAATGTGAAGATGACTTGTTGAAAACTGAACCTGCTCTAGTGGCTGCTACAGCAGCTTTAAATACACTTAATAAGGTAAGAACCAGGCAGTTTAATGGCTGTGAGGAACTTCGTTTAAAGGATTTTAATAAGCTATGTATGGGTCAGCCCATTGGTCTTGTTGCTGTACTGGTCAATGAAAGATCAGGAATGAGCTTGTTCCCCCACCTCCCTAGACTGGCAGCCACTGGGAATTTTGTAGAAGCAGCATAATTAGTATGAAGGAGCCCCGTGAAGCTCTTGAGTTGTTCTGGCTGATTGGAAGCATCACTATGCCATAGGATCTGTTGTGTACATGGGACAGAGGGAAGAAGTGCACGTGCCCAGAAGAAAACTGGCAAAGTAGTATGATGTGGGTAGATTATTTTACCTACTATTCTTGAAAGTAGTAGCACTACAGTATGGTACAAGTGTATAGGGTTTTTTGCTGTGATTTATTTTACTACTGATGAAGTCAAGTCGCATCGAACAATCTATATTAAATACAATACCGACTGCAACAAGGATCATTTAGTTGATTTGGGTTCAAGTCCAACAGGAAATTTGTGTGAAAAAATGGCATTTGCACTTTAGGCTGTCGAAAATTGTGTCTGTATATAGAATCCATATAGAACATTGCGTGTTCATTGTAGAGCTGCAGGACAGTGATGGCTTCCTGTAACTGTCATGCAGATCATTGCAGTTCTACTTACTATATGAAGTGATGACCAATGGGATCACAAGCAACCAAGAGTCGTCAAAAAGTACAGCTGTGCATTCTTAATCTCTTAAGAATGATTCTGCTGTACCCCTGCTGCACTAGCAATTCCATTATTTCTCTGTAGACATCTCTCACTTTGCGGATGGCTAACTCTGTTTGGCAGCTTTCTGTTGATTTTTTTTTGTGTGTGTGTGATTGCTTTTCAGATTAATCTCACTGAATTGAAAGCCTTCCCCAACCCACCAACTGCAGTAACTAATGTTACTGCTGCAGTCATGGTATTACTGGCTTATAACGGCAAAGTGCCCAAAGACCGAAGTTGGAAAGCTGCTAAAGTCTTCATGGGAAAGGTGCTGGACAGTGGGAAATCATCTGTTGGCTATGTGTGATGGGTGAGAGGAGGGCTAGTTAATTAAATATTACAGTCAAGGGTAGTTCTGAGTCAAATGTAATATCACTCTCTTACAGACTCAATTGAAGGAGCTGGATGTCATATTGTTATAAATCATGTCTCCCCATGGCTTCAGTGGCATACTGAAGTCAACATGAGCATCAACTGGGAGTTACTTATTATTTGCAAAATTGAGAGCAGTCAAGTATAAGAGGAAGAAAATTGTATATATGTTTTTACCCAATATCAGACAATTTCCCAAATTAATTGCAAAGAGGGACTCGGGTGGTTGGGTTTTTTTGAGGGGGTGTGATGGGTTCTGTAAATGAATGATTCATTTGAAGATATGCTTCCTGCCACCCCCCCTTTTTTTTCAAAATTTGTATTCACTCAGTGCAATCTCCAAAAGCAAACTAAATGCAGAGTGCCCATTTTGCTTTTATATTTTAAGGTCATGAAAGCAGGAGTTAACTTGTGATCTTGAAAAGTTCTCTGCAGTGTAAATGGATTGGGTACATTAGGTCTCTTCTCCTTGCAGGTTGATGACTTCCTACAAGCTTTAATTAGTTATGATAAGGAGCATATTCCTAAGAACTGTCTGAAAGTGGTCAAAGAGTATTACTTGAAAGATCCAGAATTCAACCCAAATTTGGTCCGCACAAAGTCCTTTGCAGCAGCTGGTCTCTGTGCCTGGGTTATCAACATAGTAAAATTCTATGAGGTACTATATATCAAGATATTTGGTCTCTGACTGGAGAAGTAGGTGGGTTTGGAAGGATATGATAGACGCTTGTGACTATTTCAGCAGGTTCAGTGTATAATTTTCAGTGAAGATACAAGACTAAATGCAGATGGAGGTTGAAATGGAAAACAGTGCTAAGGCTTGAAAACTTCATTTTTAAACAACAACTTTGTGGCCATTAGGGGTTTGTCATTGTCATTATGATGCAACAGTGGGGACAGATCGTATATCCTTCTTCTCCAGATACACATTCCCCTTCCACTTGAATTAAAGGAAAATCTCAGCTAGCTGTCTACATGACAGGCAGTCTGAGACACAGTTGAGTAATTCTGATTCTCCAGTAGATGCCAGTGGTATATATGCAAACTAGCGAGCCCATTGCAGTATGATGTCTGGATGTTCTTTAATTGTGAATATTAGAAAATCTACTTGATTACAATGTACTATTTACATTAAATGCACACTTTACCCTTTAATTCTGAGACCAAAAAAATCATTCCACATGTGAATTGATTTGATTTGCACAGCAGACCGGTTTTCCCAAATTGAACCCCTCCCCCACTTATTCTGTGCTAAGGAAACAAAAGTTGGAAAGAGTTTGGGATAAATGGGCAGCGTTCATTTCTATTTAAGATATTCTTAAATAAGTTACTGTCAGAACTACAAGGGATAACTCCTCTCCCAGAAAGCAAGTTGTATATGTGTATAGCTATAATTTTGTATTTATTGTAGGTTTGTATGTATTTCACTACCATGTACAAAGGTAGAGCAAATGTATGCAACCTGTGACTTACTGGTTCGTTGTACAGATTAGAAGCTCTTTCATCAGGTGTCATTTGCCATTTTTGTGAATGAATTCAAGACTTACTTTTTGTCCAAATGAAACTATACTCTCTCTCTTTCTTGAGGTGTATTGTGAAGTGGAGCCAAAACGTCATGCACTGGCCCAGGCAAATGTCGAACTAGCAGCAGCCACTGAAAAGCTAGAAGCAATTAGGAAAAAGCTTGTTGTAAGTACTGTCTGAACAACGATAGTCCTCTTCAAGTATCTTGAACTCATTTCATTGGCTTGTGTCCATCTCTATGGCAAGGCACCAACTCTGTCCAGAAAGATAACTGGTTTTATTACTCCCCAGCTCTGAAATGCCATAAAGTCCTTGTTTTATTGTCAAAGATATGGTTGTTCTGTATTAAGCTTTATTACTACTTTTCCTCTAAATCTGTTGAAGAGCATCCTGCATTTTAGATACCTTACAGGATAATTAGATTCAAAACATAGAGAATCCCTCTAGGCAAAAAACCTTAAGTTACAAAAAAGACACCCAGACAGAAATAGTCACTCTATTCAGCACAGTTCCTTTCTCAGCCATTTAAAGAAATCATAATCTAACACATACCTAGCTAGATTACTTAATAAAAGTTCTAAGACTCCATTCCTGTTCTCTCCCCAGCAAAAGCTGCATACCGACAGACACAGACCCTTTGTTTCTCTCCCTCCTCGCAGCTTTTGAAAGTATCTTGTCTCCTCATTGGTCATTTTGGTCAGGTGCCAGTGAGGTTACCTTTAGCTTCTTAACCCTTTACAGGTGAGAGGATTTTTCCTCTGACCAGGAGGGATTTTAAAGGGGTTTACCCTTCCCTTTATATTTATGACAACAAAAAATTACAGAATTTCCCCAAAGCCATTCAGCTACATACAAAACCAATAGATTTAATAAACAAAAATGGCAATTGATATAAATCATTCTGTTATTTATATGAGCTGTATATCCCTGCAGAATCAGTTGTTGTTATATGGCTATTGACTTGTTGGTGGATAGGAATAACTTCCAGATTGGGCATTGGAAGCTCATGCCCATCTGCATTTATGCTTGGTATTAATTAAATAATAAAAATGTTATTAAATCCCTTCTGAATCTTTAAGAAAAACATTGAGAAACTTGGAGATAGAAACCAGGACCTCAGCTTCTTCAGACCATCCTGTCTTTTGAGATATTGGTTGTACCAAAAAGTATAGTTACCACGAAATATTTATTGAACTCTTTTTCCTGTGTTTATATTCAGAGCCACGTATGCTTACTTTCTGGACAAAAATAATTCTTTACTGCTTTCTTTACTCCTGTCAGCCCTGCTGAATTAACTTAGCTGTGAGAAAGCGATCTGGGATGTTGTCCTGGCTTACTCATTGTCAGATTGTTAACAAAATTCCAATAGAAGGAGCAGATTCTATCCTGAGTCAGACTTGCGCAACTTCATTTCTAACTGGGGAGAATTTGGCATGCAGAATCCTTATTATCGGGGAGTGACATACAAGAAGGAAAGAACCCAGGTTGACTTTCAGTTCCCAGACTGAGTTTGCAAGACTGGCAAATAGGTGGTTGAGAGGAAGAGGAATAAATCCTTTAAGCATGTTTGATGGTAATAATGATCTGGAAGTCATTGTGAGATAGCAAATGTGGGTCTCCCACAGTGCCTTTCTTAGTCAATTTTCAGAGTAGAGAGCTTGTGCTTTCTTGTTCTGTGCTTAATAGCTCAAAAAAATTTTTACTGTCTGCTTATTCTTATAATTCAATAAGATCCCATCTCTGAGTCCAGTTTCTGACCCTTAATATATGTGCATTTCCGATTTTTTCCCCTTATGAATTTCTCTACATGTGGTCATGTGTTTATTTTGCTTTAATTATGGTGAGTTTCCTGTAGGAAAAGTTGTACACCACAGGTTAAGTTACAGTTTCCCTTGCTGTTAGCTGTTTCCCGTATATGGCCAAATATGTCATCACATTGCATATTTAACATGAATATTTTTCTCAATAGCCATATAGAATACACAATAGATCTTCAGCCAGGCTTCTTTTCACACAGGGGCTGGATGTGGTTACTTGTTCTAGTAAAACAGACAATAGAATGACAGGTTACAGTAAGGAAATCATGAATACTGTAAGATCTCCTGTTGAGCTGGAGAACTCCATGCTTGCTTCTTGCAGCCCACATCTTGGATCTCCTCAGCTTCAATTATGGGGTGGTTTGTTCATAGGCCAGTGGAAAAAATCTTGCAGTTTATCCAAATGCCTTATGTTTTTCCGCAAACTATAGGAAAAAGGGACTACTTCCCAGTGTGTTTTGCTGTTTTACATAAGTAATCTGATTTAAGTAGCTCATTTGTATAAATTACGAATATACTCAAAAAGGCATCCTGAAGCTATGTGGCATTATCAGATTTTGAAATGGGCTCACAATAATTCATAGATTCACAGATACTAAGGTCAGAAGGAACCATTATGATCATCTAGTCTGACCTCCTGCAAAACGCAGGCCACAGAATCTCACCCACTCACTCCTGTGAAAAACCTCTCACCTATGTCTGAGCTATTAAAGTCCTCAAATCGTGGTTTAAAGACTTCAAGGAGCAGAGAATCCTCCAGCAAGTGACCCGTGCCCCATGCTACAGAGGAAGGCAAAAAACCTCCAGGGCCTCTTCCAATCTGCCCTGGAGGAAAATTCCTTCCTGACCCCAAATATGGCAATCAGCTAAACCCTGAGCATATGGGCAAGATTCACCAGCCAGATACTACAGAAAATTCTTTCCTCGGTAACTCGGATCCCACCCCATCTAACATCCCATCACAGGCCATTAGGCCTATTTACCATGAATATGTAAAGATCAATTAATTACCAAAATCATGTTATCCCATCATACCATCTCCTCCATAAACTTGTCGAGTTTAATCTTAAGGCCAGATAGATCTTTTGCCCCCACTGCTTCCCTTGGAAGTCTATTCCAAAACTTCCCTCCTAGAAACCTTCGTCTAATTTCAAGTCTAAACTTCCTGGTGGCCAGTTTATATCCATTTGTTCTTGTGTCCACATTGGTACTGAGCTTAAATAATTCCTCTCCCTCTCCAGTATTTATCCCTCTGATATATTTATAGAGAGCAATCATATCTCCCCTCAACCTTCTTTTAGTTAGGCTAAACAAGCCAAGCTCCTTGAGTCTTCTTTCATAAGCAAGTTTTCCATTCCTCGGATCATCCTAGTAGCCCTTCTCTGTACCTGTTCCACTTACTGTAATGTAGCACTAGATAAAGGAAAGATACCACTTGGCAGTTACTGCAATTATTTGAATTGTCCATGTAAAGGTAATGTTTTAATATCTATTACTGATATAATTGAAACATTTTTATTAAAACTTTGTGCTTATCTGACAGTATTATATAAGGCTTAACAAGATTAAAGTCATTATAACAACTGCAGTCTAAATCACCAAGAAACATGTACAAACAAACACCTTTCCAGGATTGTCAACTAGATAAAAATAAAAATTTCTTTTAAAAAATATAGTTAAAACTAGGGCTGTCAAGTGATTAAAAAAATTAATCGCCCTGTTAAACAACAATAGAATACCATTTACTTTAAATATTTTTGGATGTTTACTACATTTTCAAATATATTAATTTCAATTACAGCACAGAATACAAAATGTACAGTGCTCACTTTATATTTTTGATTACAAATATTTGCTCTGAAAAAACAAAAAATATTTATTTTTCAATTGACTTCATACCAGTTCTGCAATGCAGTCTCTCTATCATGAAAGTTGAATTTACAAATGTAGAATTATGTACCCCAAAAAATGCATTCAAAAACAAAACAATGTAAAACTTTAGAGCCCACAAGTCCACTCAGTTCTACTTTTTGCTCAGCCAATCACTCAGACAAACAAGGTTGGTTACAATTTGCAGGAGATAATGCTGCCTGCTTCTTGTTTACAATGTCACCTGAAAGTGAGAACAGGCATTCACATGGCACTGTTGTAGCTGGCATTGCAAGATATTTACATGCCAGATGCACCAAAGATTCATATGTCCCTTCATGCTTCAACCACCATTCCAGAGGACATGCTTCCATGCTGATGAAGGGTTCTGCTTGATAATGATACAAAACAGTGTGGACTGACACATGTTCATTTTCATCATCTGAGTCAGATGCCACCAGCAAAAGACTGATTTTCTTTTTTGTTGGTTTGGGTGCTGTAGTTTCCACATCAGTGTGTTGCTCTTTTAAGACTTCTAAAAGCATGCGCCACACTTAGTCTCTCTCAGATTTTGGACAGCACTTCAGATTCTTAAATCTTGGGTTGAGCGCTGTAGCCATTTCTCACAGCGGTACCTTCTTTGCGCTTTGTCAAATCTGCTGTGAAAGTGTTCTTAAAACAAACATGTGCTGAGTCATCGTCTGAGACTGCTATAACATGAAATATATGCATAATGCGGGTAAAACAGAACAGGAGACATACAATTCTCCCCCAAAGGAATCCAGTCTCAAATTTAATTGACACGTTATTTTTTTAAACAAGCATCAGCAGCATGGAAGCATATCCTCTGGAATAGTGGCCAAAGCATGAAGGGGCATACGAATGCTTAGCATATCTGGCATGTAAATACCAACGCCAGCTACAAAAGTGCCATGCGGATGCCTGTTCTCACATTCAGGTGACCTTGTAAATAAGAAGCAGGCAGCAGTGTCTCCCTTCAATGTAAACAAACTTGTTTGTCTTAGTGATTGGCAGAATAAGAAGTAGGACTGAGTGGACTTGTAAGCTCTAAAATTTTACACTGTTTTATTTCTGAGTGCAGTTATGTAACCAGAAAAAAATCTGCATTTGTAAGTTACACTTTCACGATAAAGAGATTGCACTTCAGTACTTGTATGAGGTGAATTGAAAAAAACTATTTCTTTTGTTTATCATTTTTACAGTGCATATATTTGTAATAAAAATATAAAGTGAGCACTGTGCACTTTGTATTCTGTGTTGTAATTGAAGTCAATGTTGAAAATGTAGAAAAACATCCAAAAATATTTAATAAATTTCAATTGATATTCTATTGTTATAAGTGCGATTAATCTCAATTAGTTTTTTTTTTAGTTAATCGCATGAGTTAACTGCGATTAATTGACAGCCCTAGTTAAAACCACTTCTGTACAGAAAGCTGGGGAAATAACCTCCAATTAG